TTAAGAGTCTTCAATCTTTCTTCAAAAGGAAGATTTCTAATGCTATGTATGAATTTAGTATCCTACGCTGAATGTTTTCTAACGAATTTATGTCCATTCTGTAATATGGAGCCCAGAATTGAGCTGCATAATCTAGGTGAGGCCTTTACTAATGATGTATAAAGCTGCGTATGACCTCTGGACTTCTTTTGGGCTTACACTTCTTGATATAAATCCCAGAAATCTATTTGCCTTATTACGTACGCTTAGGCACTGCTGTCTTGGTTTAAGGTTGCTGCTTACCATAACCCCCAAGTCCTTTTCGCAATCTGTAGGGTTAAAGTTCTACTTTTATTTAACTTATAAGTGCTAGGGTTATGGACACTCCCGAGTTTCAGAACCTTGCATTTATCTACATTGAACTGCATCTGCCACTTTTCTGACCAAGAGTAGAGTTTGTCTAAATCCCTGAAGTTCCCTAACATCTACGTTTGAATCAATTATCCTACATATCTTCGTGTCATCGGCGAAATTTTCTCATTTTCATAGTAATTCCTTCATCAAGATCATTGATGTATTTATAAACAACAACGGGCCCCAAAACTGATCCCTGTGGAACGCCACTTGTTAAATGATCCCCACTCGGATTTAACCCCATTTATGGACCCCTCTCTGCTTCCTGTCTGTGAGCCATGATTCGATCCACGAGAGCACTCTTCCCCCCAATGCCATGAGCTGTACTTTTTTCAACAGTCTTTGGTGCGGAACTCTATCAAATGCCTTACTAAAATCTAAGTATATAATATCAATTTTTTATCGTGGTCAACAGCCTCAAAGCTTTACTGAAGAAAGTTAATAAATTAGTTAGGGCAAGACCCGGGCCCCTTGTGAATCCATGCTGGTATCATTAATCAAGCTATGCTTATCGAGATGGCTTCTTATAATTTTGGCTATAATTGACTTAGGGAATTTGCCTACAATTGAGGTCAGGCTTATTGGGCGGTAATTTGACGGTAACGACTTGTCCCTGTTTTAAAAATAGGAATTACATTGCCATTTTTCCACATATCAGACACTACACCTGTTTGAAGAGATAAATTAAAAATATTAGTTAATGGTTCACAGACTTCCATTTTGCATTCCCTTTTGAACCCTTGAAAAAAACCCCATCAGGACCCGGTGACTTATTTTGCTTCAGTCGGTCTATCTGCTTCACAACCATTTTACTAGTGACTGTGATGTTACATAATTTATCTTCTTCTGATCCCCTATAAAAATTAAAATTACCGGAATATTATTAGTGTCTTCCTGTGTTAAAAACCGAGAGAAAATAATTATTTAAAAACGATCATTTTTATTCTCTTTGTCAGTAAGATGCCATGTTAGATGGGCACCCCAATCTGCATGAGTGTCTTCCATTGCAGACACTGCAAGGCTCCAGGCGGACATCAACCAAAAACTTTCAGTGGGGTGCAGAAAACAATATGAAGTTCAACGTTTAGAAATTTCAATTACTCAGATTGGTAAACATGAGGAAATTAAATCTTCATCAGAGTACAAACAAATTTAGCCCCAAATAGAGCGAAAAAACCAACGTCAAAGATCTGGGAGTGATTATGTCGGAGGATCTCACCTTCAAGGACATAACATTGTATCAATCGCATCTGCTAGAAAAATGACAGGATGGATAATGAGAACCTCAAAACTAGGGAGGCAAGCCCCTGATGACACTCTTCAGGTCACTTGTTCTATTAGGCAGGAATATTGCTGCACACTAACAGCACTTTCAAGGCAGGTGAAATTGCTGACTAGAAATTTTACGAGAACCTTCACCCGGGGCGCATAACGGAGATAAAACACCTCAATTACTGGGAGCGCTTGAGGTTCCTGAACCTGTTTCCCTGGAACGCAGGCGGGAGAGATACATGATTATATACACCTGGAAAAAAACCTGAGGGACTAGTACCGAAATTGCACACGAAAATCACTCACAACGAAAGCAAAAGATTTGGCAGACGATGCAACATCCCCCCATTGAAAAGCAGAGGTGTCACTAGCACGTTAAGAGACCATACAAAAAGTGTCAGGGGCCCGAGACTGTTCAACTGCCTCCCAGCATACATAAGGGGGATTACCAACAGACCCCTGGCAGTCTTCAAGCTGGCACTAGACAAACACCTAAAGTCGGTTCCTGACCAGCCGGGCTGTGGCTCGTATGTTGGTTTGCGTGCAGCCAGCAGTAACAGCCTGGTTGATCAGGCTCTGATCCACCAGGAGGCCTGGTCACAGACCGGGCCGCAGGGGCGTTGACTCCCGGAACTCTCTCCAGGTAAACTCCAGGTCCAGGTAGGTGATTCAAAGTTAGCTATCTAGAGACTAGGTGATTCAAAGTTAGCTATCTAGAGACTAGATGATTCAAAGTTAGCTATCTAGAGACTAGGTGATTCAAAGTTAGCTATCTAGAGACTAGATGATTCAAAGTTAGCTATCTAGAGACTAGGTGATTCAAAGTTAGCTATCTAGAGACTAGATGATTCAAAGTTAGCTATCTAGAGACTAGGTGATTCAAAGTTAGCTATCTAGAGACTAGGTGATTCAAAGTTAGCTATCTAGAGACTAGATGATTCAAAGTTAGCTATCTAGAGACTAGATGATTCAAAGTTAGCTATCTAGAGACTAGGTTATTCAAAGTTAGCTATCTAGAGACTAGGTTATTCAAAGTTAGCTATCTAGAGACTAGGTGATTCAAAGTTAGCTATCTAGAGAGTAGGTGATTCAAAGTTAGCTCTCTAGAGGCTAGGTGATTCAAAGTTAGCTATCTAGAGACTAGATGATTCAAAGTTAGCTATCTAGAGACTAGGTGATTCAAAGTTAGCTATCTAGAGACTAGGTGATTCAAAGTTAGCTATCTGGAAACTAGATGATTCAAAGTTAGCTATCTAGAGACTAGGTTATTCAAAGTTAGCTATCTAGAGACTAGATGATTCAAAGTTAGCTATGTAGAGACTAGGTGATTCAAAGTTAGCTATCTAGAGACTAGGTGATTCAAAGTTAGCTATCTGGAAACTAGATGATTCAAAGTTAGCTATCTAGAGACTAGGTGATTCAAAGTTAGCAATCTAGAGACTAGGTGATTCAAAGTTAACAATCTAGAGGCTAGGTGATTCAAAGTTAGCCATCTAGAAACTAGATGATTAAAAGTTAGCTATCTAGAGACTAGGTGATTCAAAGTTAGCTATCTAGAGACTAGGTGATTCAAAGTTAGCTATCTAGAGACTAGATGATTCAAAGTTAGCTATCTAGAGACTAGGTGATTCAAAGTTAGCTATCTAGAGACTAGGTGATTCAAAGTTAGCTATCTAGAGATTAGGTAATTCAAAGTTAACTATCTAGAGACTAGGTGATTCAAAGTTAGCTATCTAGAAACTAGGTGATTCAAAGTTAGCTATCTAGAGACTAGGTGATTCAAAGTTAGCTATCTAGAGACTAGGTGATTCAAAGCTAGATATCTAGAGACTAGGTAATTCAAAGTTAACTATCTAGAGACTTGGTGATTCAAAGTTAGCTATCTAGAAACTAGGTGATTCAAAGTTAGCTATCTAGAGACTAGGTGATTCAAAGTTAGCTATCTAGAGACTAGGTGATTCAAAGCTAGCTATCTAGAGACTAGGTAATTCAAAGTTAACTATCTAGAGACTTGGTGATTCAAAGTTAGCTATCTAGAAACTAGGTGATTCAAAGTTAGCTATCTAGAGACTAGGTGATTCAAAGTTAGCTATCTAGAGAATAGGTGATTCAAAGTTAGCTATCTAGAGACTAGGTGATTCAAAGTTAGCTATCTAGAGACTAGGTGATTCAAAGTTAGCTATCTAGAGACTAGGTGATTCAAAGTTAGCTATCTAGAGACTAGGTGATTCAAAGTTAGCTATCTAGAGACTAGGTGATTCAAAGTTAGCTATCTAGAGACTAGGTGATTCAAAGTTAGCTATCTAGAGACTAGGTGATTCAAAGTTAGCTATCTAGAGACTAGGTGATTCAAAGTTAGCTATCTAGAGACTAGGTGATTCAAAGTTAGCTATCTAGAGTCTAGGTGATTCAAAGTTAGCTATCTAGAGACTAGATGATTCAAAGTTAGCTATCTAGAGACTAGGTGATTCAAAGTTAGCTATCTAGAGACTAGGTGATTCAAAGTTAGCTATCTAGAGACTAGATGATTCAAAGTTAGCTATCTAGAGACTAGGTGATTCAAAGTTAGCTATCTAGAGACTAGGTGATTCAAAGTTAGCTATCTAGAGACTAGGTTATTCAAAGTTAGCTATCTAGAGACTAGGTGATTCAAAGTTAGCTATCTAGAGACTAGTTGATTCAAAGTTAGCTATCTAGACACTAGGTGATTCAAAGTTAGCTATCTAGAGACTAGGTGATTCAAAGTTAGCTATCTAGAGACTAGATGATTCAAAGTTAGCTATCTAGAGACTAGATGATTCAAAGTTAGCTATCTAGACTAGATGATTCAAAGTTAGCTATCTAGAGACTAGGTGATTCAAAGTTAGCTATCTAGAGACTAGATGATTCAAAGTTAGCTATCTAGAGACTAGATGATTCAAAGTTAGCTATCTAGAGACTAGATGATTCAAAGTTAGCTATCTAGAGACTAGGTGATTCAAAGTTAGCTATCTAGAGACTAGGTGATTCAAAGTTAGCTATCTAGAGACTAGATGATTCAGTTAGCTATCTAGAGACTAGGTGATTCAAGTTAGCTATCTAGAGACTAGGTGATTCAAAGTTAGCTATCTAGAGACTAGGTGATTCAAAGTTAGCTATCTAGAGACTAGATGATTCAGTTAGCTATCTAGAGACTAGGTGATTCAAAGTTAGCTATCTAGAGACTAGGTGATTCAAAGTTAGCTATCTAGAGACTAGGTGATTCAAAGTTAGCTATCTAGAGACTAGGTGATTCAAAGTTAGCTATCTAGAGACTAGGTGATTCAAAGTTAGCGCTGGGTTGAGTACAGAAGCGCATGAGCAGCAGTTATGCTCTCATACCACAGTCAGCTGTCGCCCTTACAACATCCAAGAGTCCTGGCTTTCTAGACGTAGTTATGAGTGTTAGACTCTTTTCCGAGTTGTCGACGTTAGAGCACCTCAATCTTAAGGAAGAGAGCGCCATAATGCCCGCCCTGTGTGATGATAAAAGGTGAGTATTGTGCAGAATTGTGGGTGTATTGTGGAATATTGTGCTCCCAGGGTTTGTGCCTCAGCGGCCATCTTGCGGAGATAAGCTCCTGCGATTTTTCGTCATTCAGTAGTTATAAAATTTATGTTGATAGGAGTTTTCTGTAATGGCTGAAATGAGCTGTATTCCGGCCGCTATAGACTGGTAAAACTTCAGTATTTGAGTTTGCCTATTATAGGCCAGTGGGTCTATTGCACAGCTCCATTTTCTTGTGTTGCGGATTATTGTCTTAAAGATTTGTGTTTGTAGATTTTTTTTTTTTTTTTTTTTTTTTTTTTTGCACTGGAAGTTATGGATTACGCCGTTATTTTACGTATATAATCTCCTTCTACCTGATAATTTTGTCTAGCCTAAGTGAAATAACTTTTTCTGTCTTTCAATGGTTGCATTAAGCTGTTTTAGGTATAATAATGCTTAATTATGGAGATATTAATGACTCATCAAAGTCAGTGTGACTTCTCTGGTGTAATTGGAAACTCCTAATTATTGGATAAGCTTATAAAGAATTATAAGATTTCACTTGACTTTCCCAGGTCACTGATCTGCCAGAAAAATTCTCTAATACAGTATTTTCATATGGAAATACAAGGATCCCAATGGAAGTAGTTCAATGGAAATAAGTCACTCTTACTTTTTTGGGTTATCCCAGGTTCTCTACACATATGCTGCTATGTATGATAATTCTATGTAACTGTATTTGTGTATACCTGAATAAACTTACTTACTTACTGACTTTTTGGTTATCCTAGGTAATTTACACTAGGATAATTGTGTTTTGTACCTGTGCCTTAATACACTTACTAAGGAGGTTCTCCTATACTTAAATTTAGTGAAATTATTAGCAAGCACTAACCTCGCCTAAAGTAAACCTAAATTTGCAGTTTTTGTTCTTGGCAGTTTTAATTTTTGAGGTTGTAAGCATGACTGATTTCTACTGTATCTTAGTTAGGCTTTAAATAATAAGATATTATAAGGTCACAAATGGAAATAACTCGGTCTGACTCTTTTTGGGTCATCCTGGGTAATTTATGCACATGTTACTATATACATGTATGATAATTGTACTTTTGTGTACCTGTCCCTAAATAAACTTTGTTAATAAAAACACAAGCAGTTATTGATAACTAAAGCAATGTTTCACCTTCACAAGCTCTATGAAGCTGTGATAAAATCTTCTGTGCAGGTAAACCAATGACTTAGATGCTTATGTCTTTATCAACCATAACAGATTGGTATTCCCATTCCTTCTACCATAACAATAATGTTGGCTAACTCTCGTGTTTCTTTGAAGTCACTGAACCAAGAAATTTTAAAGTAATTTTGACTAATGCACAGTAATTCTGAAGTAACCTGGATGTTGTAGGCCTACATACGTATATATTATAGTACATTAGTAGATTTATCCTAGGATAGCTCGGTAAACTGTGTACGATATGTAGGTAATTAGTCCCTAAAGTTTCCTGTTCAACAAATGGTAATGCTAAAGATGGTAGACCAGTAGTTATAATAATATCTTTATTTACTACAAGTACTGTACATGTACAAGGTACACAGTCCTAGCTGACAACAATGACATACTACTATATATAGAAAGTCCCTTGTTATGCTGCGCATTTCAGGCAAATTAGGTCGGTGTCTCAGGATGTCACCAGTCGACTAACACCCAGGTACCCATTTTACTGATGGGGAACATAGACAACAGGTGGAAAGAAACACTTCCAATGTTTCTACTCTGGCTGGGAATCGAACCCAGGCCCTCGCCGTGTGAAGCGAGAGCGTTAACCACCAGGCCCCCAGAGCCACTTCTCAAATTGTTGATATCGGTGTATTATCCAGGTGGCCAATTTGATGACTTTAAAATAGTCAGTCCTCAAGGGGGGCTCTTGATCCAAGGAATTTCACTGGGCCTTCCTTGAATCTGAATCCTTCCCGTTCTAGGAACTGTATGACCCTTATGGGTTTAATGCTTCCCCATGAATGTAATAATATAAGAACTAAAAGTATAAGTTAGGGAATACAAAAGTATAATACCATGGCTGTTGTAAATCACAACTTGCACTTTGGAAAGGAAACTTAGTTTTCATCTTCTGGGCTATCAAAACACAACTCCTGTTTGTAAATTTGATTTATTTTAGGTTAGGATAGTGGTTGTCAATTTTGCTAAATTTGTGGGTGAACTTTTCATCATTAGTAAAATATTGGAGACTTGTGTAATTTAAAGTCTGAGATCACTGGAATTCAGTGAAACTGGGGGGGGGGGGGAAGGTAAGACATAGCAGCAGTTTGCATGTTATGTCAAATATATTATTACAGTATAGGAAATCCTTATTGACTGCTGGTTTGTAATGGGTAAGTCTTCATAATTTATAACATGTATGCCTATACTGTATAAAGTATATTACTGCAACCTTTGTAAAGAAATATTGCTTGTAAAACAGCTTAACCTAAATTTTGTTTAATTTTCCCTGAACTACAGTAATTTGCTCCCTTTCTGCATCTTTAATTCAATGCTCTTGGCTTCAGTTTTGGTGTTAAGGTTTGCCAGTAGTAAAACATTTATCACATGAACTTGTGTATATGGGTGTGTATCAAACCAAAGTAGGCTTTTTCTGGGTAATTAACACTGGAGGGTAAATGACCTTGTATAACTCCCCCCAAAAAAGTCGAGCATTGTAGTTTGACTTTAGGGGTCATTAGAGCCTCACCCCTAGGATACAATTAACAACAAAGCTCCAGACCGACATAATGAGATTAGTCATGAGGGAGCCTTCACCAAATTCAACTTCAATAATCAGAACATAAAGTGGGACCAAGTAAACCAAGTCCTAACCGATATTAGCTGGGAAGATAGACTAAGCAACACAGACCCCAACTTATGCCTAAACAGATTAACTCGGTGGCACTCGATGTATGCTCAAGGCTTATTCCTTTAAGAAAAAGGAGGAGTAAATGTAAAATAGAAAGAGACAGGCGCTCCCTTTACAGGCGGCGAGAAAGAATAACAGAGCGGCTAAAAGAGGCCAATATATCTGAAATGCATAGGGAGTCACTGGTCAGAGAAATAGCAAACATCGAACTTAAGCTAAAGGAATCTTATAGGAGACTCTTATAGGGAAGAACTAAAAGCCATAAATGAAATCGAAAGAAACCCAAAGTATTTCTTTTCCTATGCCAAATCAAAGTCAAGAATAACATCCAGTATTGGGCCCCTACTGAGCTATTCAAGTCCCAATATGACTCGGTTTTTAGCAAGCCGCTAGCTAGACTGAGAGTCGAAGATCAAAATTAATTTTTTATGAGAGCCACAGAATTTGGTTAACACAAGCCTATCTGATGTTATCCTAACGCCAAATGACTTCGAATAGGCGATGAATGACATGCCCATGCACTCTGCCCCATGGCCAGACTCATGGAACTCCGTGTTCATCAAGAACTGCAAGAAGCCCCTATCACGAGCTTTTACCATCCTATGGAGAGGGAGCATGGACACGGGGGTCGTCCCACAGCTACTAAAAACAACAAGACATAGCCCCACTCCACAAAGGGGGCAGTAAAGCAATAGCAAAGAACTACAGACCGATAGCTCTAACATCCCATATAAAAATCTTTGAAAGGGTCCTAAGAAGCAAGATTGCCACCCATCTAGAAACCCATCAATTACACAACCCAGGGCAACATGGGTTTAGAGCAGGTCGCTCCTGTCTCAACTATTGGATCACTACGACAAGGTCCTAGATGCACTAGAAGACAAAAAGAATGCAGATGTAATATATACAGACTTTGCAAAAGCCTTTTGACAAGCGTGACCATGGCGTAATAGCGCACAAAATGCGTGCTAAAGGAATAACAGGAAAAGTTGGTAGATGGATCTATAATTTCCTCACAAACAGAACACAGCGTAGTAAACAAAGTCTGAGGCAGCTACGGTGAAAAGCTCTGTTCCACAAGGCACAGTACTCGCTCCCATCTTGTTTCTCATCCTCATATCTGACAGACAAGGATGTCGGCCACAGCACCATGTCTTCCTTGCAGATGACACCCGAATCTGCATGACTGTGTTCCATTGCAGACACTGCAAGGCTCCAGGTGGACATCAACCAAATCTTTCAATGGGCTGCAGGAAACAATACGAAGTTCAACGATGAAATATTTCAATTACTCCGATATGGTAGACACGAGGAAATCAAAACTTCATCAGAGTACAAAAATTCTGCCCACAAAATAGAGCGAAAAATAAACGTCAAAGGCCTGGGAGTGATCATGTTGGAGGATCTCACCTTCAAGGACCATAACATTATCAGTTGCAGCTGCTAGAAAAATGACAGGATGGATAATGAGAACCTTCAAAACTAGGGAGGCCAAGCCCATGATGACTCTTCAGGTCGCTTGTTCTATCTAGGCTGGAATATTGCTGCACACTAACAGCACCTTTCAAGGCAGGTGAAATTGCTGACCTAGAAAATGTACAGAGAACCTTCACAGCACGCATAATGGAGATAAAACACCTCAATTACTGGGAGCGCTTAAAGTTCCTGAACCTGTATTCCCTGGAACGCAGGTGGGAGAGATGCATGATTATATACACCTGGAAAATCCTAGAGGGACTAGTACCGAACTTGCACACGAAAATCACTCGCAACGAAAGCAAAAGACTTGGCAGACGATGCAACATACCCCCAATGAAAAGCAGGGGTGTCACTAGCACGTTAAGAGACCACACAATAAGTGTCAGGGGCCCCGAGACTGTTCAACTGCCTCCCAGCATACATAAGGGGGATTACCAATAGACCCTGGCAGTCTTCAAGCTGGCACTGGACAAGCACCTAAAGTCGGTACCTGACCAGCCGGGCTGTGGCTCGTACGTTGGATTGAGTGCAGCCAGCAGTAACAGCCTGGTTGATCAGGCTCTGATCCACCAGGAGGCCTGGTCACAGACCGGGCCGCGGGGGCGTTGAACCCCGGAACTCTCTCCAGGTAAAGTACACTACAAACCCGCTGCACAAATAAGTCGCCTCAAAAATAAGTCGGCCTCAAAAACTATGACCCCCAAAAGGATAAGCGTTTCAGTGGCACTGTTAAGTTGAAGCACATTCCCAAGCCAAAGATGGTGCGTGTTTTTGAAGACCAGATGCACATAGATGAAGCAAGTGAAAATGATTTACCATGCATGTCTGCTGATGACCTCATGAAATTGAACAAGGACAAAAAACTTGTTAAAAAGCTTGCCAAGAAATATGATGCTTTTATTGCATCTGATGCCTTGATTAAGCAGATTCCTCGGTTGTTGGGTCCTGGCCTTAACAAGGCAGGAAAGTTCCCTACCATTTGCACTCTGAAAATGAGTGAAAAGTTTGATGAAATAAAGGCAATTAAGTTCCAAATGAAAAGGGTGTTGTGCTTGTCAGTTGCCATTGGTCATGTGGATATGACTGCCGATGAGCTGGTTCAGAATATACTTTGCAATGAACTTCCTGGTCTAGCTTCTTAACCCTTTCAGGGTTTCGGATTTACTAGTACGGCTTATGCACCAGGGTTTTGAGAGAAAGCTGGTAGGCCTACATGTGAAAGAATGGGTCTGTGGTCAGTGTGCACTGTATAAAAAAAATCATGCAGCGCACAGTGCGTAATGAGAAAAAAAAAAACTTTGACAGTGTTTTTTGGATTAAAATGGCGACTTTGCACTGTACATTGGACCCTCGAGTTTCGTGATTAATCCGTTCCAGAGAGCCTGCCGAAGGTCGAAATTCAAGAAACTCGAAACCATTTTCCCCATAAGAAATAATGGAAATAAAATTAATCCGTTCCAGACGCCCAAAAATATTAAAATAATTTTTTTTTTTTTTTTTTCAAATTAAATAAAGATTTACATAATGAAAATCAGAAATAAAGTGTACATGCATTTAAAATAAATAATAACAACATTACACTTACCTTTACTGAAGACTTCTGGGTGGATGGAAGATGGGAGGAGGTGATAGGAGGAAGGTATACACTATTGTTTGGAAGAATCTCCTTCCATTAGGACTTTAGGTAGCAAGTCCTTATCTGGGGATACTTCCCTTCTTTTAATGCCACTGGGAACAACTTGAATCACTAGACCCCTGGCACACAAAATATCTATCAAGAGGTCTTTTTCTGGCGTTTCTTTAAGATTACCCTGAAGTGGGACACAACACTGTCATTGTACATGTTGCAGATATGGCTTGTTTCAGCTTGGTCAGGGTGATACTTTTCAACAAAACTTTGCAACACATTCCACACATGTCCTTAATCGCTGAGGAAGGCACCCATCCACTCCCTCTTCCTCCTCCTCTGAAGCAAGTTCCTTGGCTGTGGTCTGATGCTGTTCCAGTTGAAGCTCTTGCAGTTTGTCAGTGGTTAGCTCTTCCCTGTGGTCCTCCTCCAACTCTTCCACATCCCCGTCACTCACTTTATTTACCAAAGGGCTTGCACTAGCTTTCCTTGGGTCCATGATGACTTATTTAGCAGTTGCAAGCCCAAAAAACAATGGATTATTATGAAATGTATTGTATGAACCCGCGGGGTGATGGTCACGTGTTGGTAAACAATGGCACACTGAGCGTGAGTGGCATGGGAGACTGGCTTTGTGTGCGCAGTGACGAGCGGACAGGTACTGGACGGTCGCCGAAACACGAGTTTTTTCACGAAACTCGAGGCCAAATTTTCCAAAAAAAAAAAAAACTCAAGGTCGAATTTCATGAAAGTCGAGGCTGCCGAAACTCGGGGGTCCGCTGTATTTTCGTATGGTATTTATTGTTGTATACTAGTTTTCCTGGTCTCATTTTATAGAATGGAAGACATTTTACAGAAATTGAGATTTTGACTGGTGAAGTGTTCTTCCATACAGTATATGTACTCTAGCTTAAATAAAACTATCACCAAGCATTAACATAACCTAAACCTAAATTTGGGTAATCCATAGTTACTTTTTATTAAAGTCATGAAACCACCTGCCCGGACGACTCGCTGACGTTAGTAATTTGAAAAGCTAGTGATTTTGCCGGACACCATATTGCAAGTTTCTTTGGTAATTTTTTTTTTCTTGGTTTCATAGTATTGCATTGTAGCACTGGTGGTACTGCATTGCTACCTCCTAGTTCAGAATTCCATATCTGTTCAGTATTAGTACTTGTACTAATACATACATGGTTGTTAACATTTTATGGTTGCCAGTGTATTGTGCACTTAAAAATACTGTATTAGGCACTGTATATATAATTTTAAAAATGTTTTTTTACAGTACATGTATTGATTGTTATAAACTTTAGTCTAATTTTTTGACAAGTTTTAAATTTAAATAATACAGTTTTCCCACCACAATTTTTATCCTGTATCCCTTATTTTTAATTTATTACAGGTTAGTGTGGCCAAATACAGAAAGGTAAGGCATGTGGTTAACTTGTCTTGTATTTAAACATTGTTTAGCTTCTTATTTTGGATTTAGTATATGTTAGATTTAGTATTTAGGCCTATGTTTAGCTTGTATTGGATTTAGCATTAATGTGGCAGATGTGTACAGTACTGCATTTGAATAGTTGATACATGTTCCCTGGAAGTGTTTTGCACTCTGGCGAGACTGCTGGTTTTTCCTGTGAGCATGCACGATGGGAGGTAAATCTGTTAACTTGTACTCAGTTGTAGGTGGAATGGTATGTGAATACAAAAAAAGTTGAAATGTAGCAAGACACTTACTCAGTATGGGAAATACTTTCTTAAAACCACCCTATTTATGTAATATATATAATCTCAATAACAAACTGTGGCTAGACTGGGGATTGAACCTGTTTTTTTAGCCTGCCTTGTGGGAAGAGCGAAAATTCACAACACCCTAAACCACTGTACCATACAATTTTATGGTCCAGTGTTGCAATCAACACATCAGGAGCTTGCAATGTTGCAGAAATAAGAAATTAGGCAGATTCGTTCAGAGAAACAAGACAGCCTGCTGGCCTCCCCTGACCGTGGATTAGTCTTGCCGACTGCACTCTGTATAAAAAAATACAAAAATAATTTTGTTTTATATAATTGTGTATTTTAATTATAAAGTAAAAATTCCTAAATCTTTGTAGTCTTGTGCTACAGGATGTCTTATCGGCATACTCCCAGACTCCAGTATTATTGCAAACTCGTGACCATTTGCATTAATTCATTCCTAAATAAAAATTAATCTTCATGTAATAAAGGTATGCCTACAAACTCGTATAGGTAAATAAGCTTGGTGTGCAACACTTGGGTATCTTTATTGTGGGGAGTTTTCCCCAACCACGGTCTTGTTCATCTACTTAGCGGTTTTTGTACATCGTTTTGCCATTGGCAAGGCGGAGCTGTTACACACCCAATTATTCCCACTCCTAAAACCTATTTTTAAAGCTAGTCAGTATTAGCTCAAAGTGACACTAGGGCATTTTGGTGCACTTAACTGTAACAGTCCAAGTTTTCCTATAATTTTTAAATGTGAATTTAGTCCATCACTTAGCTTTTAGCACTTTAATATAATGCTTAATCTTATTTCAAAGAATGCCAGAGTAATGTGACTGATAAATAACGCAATGAACATATCGCTGAAAAAAAAAAAATGAGGAAGAATAAACAAGAAACAAGAATGGTGGGTGATGTGGAAGGTGTGCTATTAGTTTTAGTAAACAAAATAAGACAGCATGGATCCCCAATTGACCCAGCACTACAGAATCTCAAGTCTGCCGTTCATTTTGCTGTTAAGCAATACGTGAATATCACATCATTGTTTGAAGATCGGCCGCAGAGTGTAGTTACGAATCCTGTATCATTGATATAAGAGGGTTTATATATAAAGAATTTAATCCAGATGTTCCATAAATTGTATTCATTGTTGTCTATTTTCGGCAAGCGAGCAGCAACAATTAGTATCGTGCGTTGGCCCAATAATTAGAAACAGCCAAGTGGGTACCATTGAAATAAATTGGGAAGTTTTAGGAACGATTTTTGATGGAGGCAAATAGGAATTTTTTAGGTGTGTGTGAGTAGGGTTTGCTTATGGGCCTTGGGTCAGTTTGTATGCTCCTTTTTATCTTTATTATGTAGGCGAGGGCAAGGTTTTGGCACTACCTGACGCGGAGGATAATATACCCGTGCCTGGGCATCCCTGCTGGCCAGTCTCCTCACTGCCCATGTAGTTGTCACTACCCACGGCTGTTATATATTTGCACGTGAAGTGGAGAATGGTAAATCGTTAATGATTAGAGTCTTATATTGCTCTGGTGATACAGTGTACTGTTAGTCTAGAGGCATCTGTGGTTCAAAGACTACAATCTTCTACCGGCGTACATATCAGATTGCCGGAAGTAAAAAAAAAAACTAAGGTAGATATTATTTTTAGAGATGAGGATGATTTTTAAAAACAAGTGCCAGGTTGTGATGGTTTGTGGGCAGTTATCAACAACCTGGTTATCACTCAGTCAACAAGAATTCGGACCTCAGACGGATCGTAAGACTAGAAAAAACCTAAAAACTGGTTTTAGTGTCAATCTATAATTCCAAAAATCGAAATTTGGCTGGCATATTCGGCAGATAATTAAAAGTTACAATGTTTTACGGGGGGGGGGGGGAGACTCTGTCCTCATGTGGCAAGGTAATTTAACAACAAACTAGGATTTCATAGCTTCAGGAGTACTACTGTAGTCCGTACGAGTGCAGTAAACCAGAAAATCCTGGTTCGTGTGTGTTGTGTAAATATGTATATATATGTGTAATGATGTATATATATATTGTAAATATATGTATGTATATAAGTGTATATGTATTTATATGTATATATGTTGTAATATGTATATATATATATGTATAAATGTATATAGTGTTAATTGTATATGTAAATATATGTATAGTATATATATGTATAATGAATATATAATGTATATATATGTATATTGTTTATATATATGTAGTATAAGTATAGTTATATATGTAAAGTATATATATATATGTAAATATGTATATAATATGGATATATGTATCGAAATATGTATATATTAATAATATATGTATATATGTATATAATATATGTATATAGTATAACTATTTTAATATGTATATATAAATAAGTATATATGTAAAAAAATGTATATATGACAACATACACAGATCACATACACCACACAGACACACATACACACACGTACACACGAGACCCACAGCATACACACATACTCACACATACACACGATACACAACATACCACGCATAACACCATACACACACATACCACACACACACGATACACACATACACACACGATAACACACACATACACCACACAACATACACTAACTGACACAACATCACACACACATACCACACATACACACATACACACACAGACATACAACACATACACACACATACACACCACATACACGACATACACACACTAGCCGGTACAAACACACATAACACACACCACACGCATCGTTACACCAACACACACAACACTAGCAACACACACATACACACAACAACACACACTACCACACAATACACACATACACACATACACACACGATACAGACACACTACACACACCATACTAACACACACATCACACTACACAAGCACATAACACTACATACACGACACATTAACACACATACACATACACAGACACACATTACACACAACATGACACGACATAACACACGGAGTACACGGACATAAACTAACATTACACACACATACACACATACACACAACACTATACACCGACAGTACGACACACATACACT